ATCATTCTTACACTAATCTTGTCTAATCCAGCACTTTTGTTAGATTTCAGCTTGAGCAACTCAGATTCAACATATTCACTTGTGACACCTAGAAGCTGAAATTTAGATGGATAATTGTACTTAATGTTGTCTGGCCAGATAGTTGGTATATTAGTAAAAACTTTCTGGATCTTTTTGCCAATAGAGGTGAAATATTTATTAAGAATCGTGGCAATGGTCATGCTTCCAGTACGTAATTTGCAATCGTCATATATGGCGTTTATATCAGAGTTTGTTGAATGTGGCAGGGTTTCTTTTATCGCTTTCCACATCTTTCCCCCATCACCTTTACTGTCTTCGATTAGTTTACAATAATATTCAGACTTAAGTTTCCTCTCTAATTGATTTGTAGAGTGACTCAGCGACTTGTACTTTTTCCAATGATGGGAGCTGTTTGTCGATTTGGCCTTTTTGAAATAGAACTGTTTGTCATATCTTATTTTTATCAAATCGGGAGAAACCCAGGGATTTTTAACGCCTTTTACACGCCTAAATCGTATCGGTGCGTGCGAATCAGCAACCTCGTTAAACAAATGTTCCCATATGAATACTTGTTCATCAATATCTTCAACCCCCTCAATGACAGACCAAGGAACGGCATTTAGATCACTCACAAAAAGTTCTTTATTGTAAGTTTTAAAACAACGATATTCAAATTGCTTTGGTGGCACGCGTTGAACTCCTCCTTTTATTACACAGAAAATTAGTGAATGGTCACTGATCAGTGGATGCATAACTCCAGCTTGAACTATTTTATGACCATTGTTAACATACAATAGGTCAATTATTGTTCTGGAATATTCAGTTATTCTTGTGTGATCTTTTATTAATTGGTCCACATTGAATTCCAATGCAAATGACTTTAACTCTTTTGGAACGGCTTTAATGACATCAACATTGAAGTCACCTAAGATCACAATTTCACAGCCGTCAGAGTAGATTTTATTAAGCGATGTTCTTAAACATTGTACAAAAACAGAAATGTTTAAGTCCGGCGGACGATAAACCGAACCAATGATCATACGCTTACAATGAGGCCTTGCCACGTCAATCCAAATTTGTTCATCTGTTGAATTGGGCTGACTCGATATTATACTATAAGGGATACCAGATTTAACATACACAAGCACGCCACCACCTTGTGACTTCGCAGGATCACTCCTGTCCTTTCTAGCAAAGGTATAACCAGATATATTGAGTTCGTCATCGCTTATGCTCGATGTTAGCCAAGTTTCACTCAAAGCCAAAAAGTCGAAAGAATGTTTTTCAATAAGTTTTTTGATTTCATCAAACTTACAAATTAGGCGGTTTACATTTAAGTGAGCAATTTTTAAACCTCTTCTTAGACGAATATCTGGTTCCTGGTCCGTTTTAGGATTTCCGGGCTCAGGATTTAAGTCTGAGGTCGTTGAACTAGATAATGGACAAAAACACGAAATGCAAATCCAGGCGGCTTCAGGGTTGGGTGCCATATTCCAGTACGAATAGCCACTTCGTAAATATTTATCATCATTGTATGCCCTAAATCCGGAAGGCCTTGAATTTTAGAAAATCACGGTGGCGTTGGGAAAAAAATATGCACCTTATTAAAAGGCAACTTTACAACAAAGGGATCCTACTGGGTACACCATAAAACTTCACACCTTTAAGGCTTCGTTCAACATATTTTTGTAATGCTGTTTTGAGAAAATCAACGTGAACAGGTGATCTCATTTTGCGTTCCTGATGTCGCTCATTTTTAACTTCCCGTGAACCACTAAAAGGCAGTTGACATGAAGTATATTAGAATACGATTATTAGGTTCCCAAAGAATCATGGTAGTGCCAGTGCTCAGCCGATAAATAAAATGATTTTTATTTTATTTTAAATTTGTTTTACTTTAATTTTTTTTTCATTTAACTTTTATTTTACTTTTGTTTTACTTTTGTTTTTAATTCCAATTTAAATTTGATTGTGTTTTTAAAATAGTTTTTAAAAAATATTTATTTCTAAACAATTTCTAATTCCCAACGAAAAAATACGAAAAAAACTATTGGCAGTTCTCGGCCACCATACTGATCCAACCATTAATAATTAAAAACGGTTTTTGCCCAACATCGAATATCAGATAACGTCAAGTAAATACCCACACTTGCATAGCTTGCTTAATTTTCGCAGTCTAGCTAAATGTTCATGCTGTCTGCTCATGTACTTTCTTTAGTGACACTATCCGTCTTTTGATAAATCTGGAAATTATCGAGACAGTAATCGCTATAAATAATGACCGGTCCCTAACATTAAGAATTCGAATTCGTCTAAAACGGAACAAAATAGTAAATATGAGGCAGAATCGCTGTAACAGGGAATACAAAATTCCCTGAATATGCTTGGGTTTCGGTCGCAACAGGAAATTTACACGAAACGAAATCTTGATGATATGGCACCCAAATCATCACAAAAAAGACCTTCTGCATAGATTGGAAAAACGAATTATCAACGGCAAATGTGAATTTGTTTTATACATGTCAAGTAGAAATTAAGTGCAAAAATGTTAACAAGTCGTAAGTGAAATCAGTTCCTATAGTTATATAGAACAATAAATTAACATACTTAATTTATTATTTATTATCATTTATTAAAACAACATTCTTAAATTTTTCTATGTTGCATTTCTTCACACAATTCTGTTTGCAGAAAATAGATTGTACTTGCAAAATATTTATCTATATCTGTTGTTTGCTGTTTTCCAGTTGCTCGAACATGGCAGAACTTGGTGGTTATCGATTCTTTGGCATTGCCAATTTTGCAGAATGTTGGGCTGGAGGACTAACATCTGAGTTTTTTGACAACGCTACAAAAGTTAACAAATGCTGGGGAGTGAGGCCGAACTATAGAGAATGTAACGATTATGCAGAAACAAAATGCGTCGCACCTCCTGTGTACAATTACATTTATGAAATTATTTCAGGTATATGCGATACATTTCTAATTTTTTCCTTTAGATTAATTTAACAAATGCCATTTTGGACGTTTATCAAAGTTGTGATAAGAGCTTTATTAAACAATTATTCCGGTTATCCGAGTCAGTGCAGCTCCATGCGTATTAACGTTTCTTATGAAGAAAAACCGGTCCTGTCAAAAAGCCTTATTTTAAAACTCTGAATCTCTCCTAAAAACACACTGTTCCACCCTGGTGGTCAGGAAACGAAGAAATGCGTTATTTACGGTACAATGCTGTTGGGGTGGAAAACACACGTGAGTCAGGCTTATTAATTAATTACCGCCTGCAATCATAAATATTGAATTCCTATTGGTTATCAAAGATACATGTGTAAATATTGAATTCCAATCGGTTATCAAAGATATGTGTCTTTCCAATTTGTATCAAGTAAAAGATTGACTAAACTTTACAACTCGATTGATTGTAGTGAATTGCAAATGCGCGCACAAACTAAGCTGATAATCAATATTTAACGTGCACGACTCAACAGAAACGACCGAATATTCAGTTATGTTAATAAGGGGTAGCTTTTATTATTTGTCAAGATTACAATTAAACATGCATATATCAAAACATATCGTCATTGTTTAGCAAATGGCTATAAATAGAATAAAAACTATACCGAAGTTTTATATCGTCTTTGGGATGTGTTATTTGGTTTTAAGCATACACATACTTTTTTACATTCTCAGCATGAATAGTGAATGGAAAATTGTGCTTTCATCCCAGTCTTTACGGAAATACTGTACTAGAAAATACATGCATGCAGAAACCCTCGCCTTGCTGACAAAACCATTGTGTTTTCCGAACATGAAGTATCTAGAGTAGTTGTCATGGTAACACGATATTTTTTTAAGAATATTCTTACAAATCGCCTAAAAATATCACTGTTAAAACCATAATTATCAATTTCCCAACATATATATGTTAGTATGCTATTATACATAATATAAGCTTCAATATAAGGTAAAATTCAACCACAAACGCTTCGCAAAACGTTTTAAAGTGTTCTTTATAAAACTAGACAGCCTTTAATTAATGAAAAATTAAATGAAAAATAAATGAAAAAAAAAATTTCTACCATATTATTTTCTACCAATAATTAGTAATAATTACAATCCTTTGCTCTACCAGCTGAGCTAACGATAGATTTTAAAAACTAACTTCTATTTCATACTTTTATACATGCAGAACTATTAGAAACCTCTTGTCGATTTTATACAGACGCTCGTATAAAAGTTAATAGCAAGCCAAGTTTAATCCCTCCAGTTTTATCACACACGTGGGGGGGGACGCTAAAAAATGCTTAGTCAGCAAATTTTGTCCATCCTTGCTTAAACTTGCCCGCGTGACGTCATTGCATATAATTATGACGTATACTAATGAGTGACGTCACTACGCGCGCTCATTTGTATGAATATTAATTATAAATGAGGTGGTGGACACCCACCACCTCAAACTCCACCACCTCAAACTTCACCACCTCAAACTCCACCACCTCACACTCCACCACCACACACACCACCACCACACACCACCACCACACGCCACCACCACCACCACACCACCACCACACCACCACTACCACCACACCACACCACCACCACCACACCACCACCACCACACCACCACCACCACAAAAATCCGGGTCGATCAGACTCTATATTACTACTTTTGTGTGTACTGAGTGGGAATATTGAATAATTGTTAGAAGAAGGAAGGTAGGCCTATCTCAGCTTAAATAACGAAGTAAACCAAGCATTAATTGTTAACCGCTAATCTGTTACTTCAGCGTTTCTATAAATTATTATTCCTTGCATAACTGGTGCCCAAGCGAACGTCCCAGCTCCACGTATTGAGGAAGTTTTGTTTCCTAACTTTGTGAGTTTAATGGTCCGGACTTTTTCAACAAATTACAGCAATGCCTGCCTGTCAATGTGAACATTTGTTTTGTAGTTTAACATGGGCAAGTGTTGAGTCCTTTCTAAAATATTGAATATTTGACAATGGATTTCGAACAACTTATAATTGTATTGTCCTTGTGAGTATAAGTCCGTCCGCTTTGTAACACCAGTCGCAAATTCATGATGTGCTATCAGCTGTCTCAACCAATGAGAATTAGCTCGTTTGTTGCGTGGAACAGTATGTGATTATAATATTCGTTCAATATCAGACGATAGTTCATGGTGTGCTGTCTCTACATGGTGTGCTGTCGCAGTGTTATTACGCCGAACAGTATATGCTCAAACAAACCATGCTCAACGGAAAATGCATGCAATTTTTGACACTCAAGTCAACCCAAAAGAATTAAAGTTCTATTGTCGGCCTTTTCTTGATTCGTACATAATTGGAGTTAAATGCATGCGCTTCAAAAATAACTCCACCTGAGTGAAATTAACTCCCTGAAATTAACAGTGTTGTTTTGATGCTATTCAGTTTCGTATAATATTTCATGTTATTTTTTTTATTTGTGCATGCCTAGTGATATTTTTTGATTTCCTGTAATATGATTGGCTGCAGCGGCGGGCAGCTTTTTACGATATCTTGACCGTGGTCTAAAAGAGTTATTTTTAGCGACAAAACGAGGAGTAAAAGCAAATTTCAAACTCATCACAGAGCCCAAATTGTACTTTTCTCCGACGAAACGGATGCGAAAGAACAAATATAAACTTCGAAAAACACTGGCCAGTACATGTTTTGAAAAATCGCCCACATATATTCAACTATGCTTCGAAAATATTCGTAATAACTATAAATTCTAAGACTTACAACTAGTCCTTAAACATAAAATTTAGAAAAATACTTAAATGGCAGTTTAAAAATAGAATAGAATAGAATAGAAACTTTATTTCACGAGGGAAAACGTATTAACGGTAAAAGTTATCTAACATACGGCCCTCGCACTATTTTAATATTTACAGGCATAAAATGTATTAAGGATTACGACTATTTACATTTGAGAAAAAAATAATTAGTAATGAATACAATTACAATTTAGTGAATATTTACAATTTATACAAAATAGATCTTCGATCGATATGATAAGTAAGGGTAAGCTTGTTAAGAAGGACTATTCCCAGGTTTAATTCGGCCAAAATCGTTCTTATCAATGTTCTAATGAACAAATTGTTTTTCGGCAACTAAAATTTGCCATTGTCTGTCAAATAGCACTTTTCACGCATGTCCATGCTGTGAAACGATCCGGAAAATTAATAATTTTACTTAGTTTAACTTTTCTTGTTTGTTGAGTGGAAAAGTATATATTGCAATGAAACGAAAAGCTTTTTACCTATGCCAGATTTTATAGCGTCTTTTTAGTAGTTTGCCAGCCATGCTTTCACTAAAGTAACAAATGCAACTGATCTCAAATATACTTCCCAACTGGAATTTATCGGAATTTCATTATAACCATAAATCATCAAATAAAAAAAATAAACACGTTATTTACCGTTTAGGTCGGTCCGTACTACAAAATATTTTCCCTCGACCTCAAAAGCGTCCCTCGGCCTTCGGCCTCTGGCCACTTCTGATCACGGGAAAATATTTTTTCAGTACAGACTTCCCAGCCGGTAAATAACATATGTTTATTTTAAATTAAAGGCACAGTTCAGCCTTCTGTTTAAGGCGCAATACAACCCTTTTAATTGAAAGAAAACTAACCACGCCGGGTCAGCTCTTCCCAAAAATCGGCCATTTGATATAAACTTTTTCAATATATTTCGGATGGACATGAAACTTGCTACATCAATATAACTTTCCATTCCGAACAATCGTATGTTTTTTATTTTTGAGATTTAACGGGTTTTGGCGGGAAAATGACGTCACGAAACCTCCAGTTAAAATTTATTTTCAATATCTTAATAGTTTTTAAGCAGAATGTGGAAGATCATGTCATGAAGAGTTGAAAACTGAAAACAGATTTTAAATATCTTAATCTAATCACGAGATACAAGGAGTTTAGAATCGAATTTTCCACCATTTTGTTACTATTTATAGATTTTTCACGGTTTTTATAGTGAAATAACTTTGGATTAGTTTTAGATATTTAAAATCCGTTTTCAGTTTTGAACTGCTCATGATATGTTCTTCCAAATTCTGCGACAAAACTATTAAGATATTGAAAATAAATTTTAACTGGAGGTTTCGTGACGTCATTTTCCCGCCAAAAACCGTTAAATCTCAAAAATAAAAAACATACGATTGTTCGGAATGGAAAGTTATATTGATGTAGCAAGTTTCATGTCCATCCGAAATATATTGAAAAAGTTTATATCAAATGGCCGATTTTTGGGAAGAGCTGACCCGGCGTAAACTAGGAAAATCAATCAAGCATAAGTGACGGATCATTAGAAAAGTAATGGGGAGCAAAACCAAAAAAAAATCCAGAAAAAAATTAGGGGGGAAAATCTTCCCAGGAATAGTGCAAAAAAAATTCCTACCTTGGAAGATTGGTGTAGGTAGAAATAATACGGAAGTGAATAGCTCAAGTTCAGACTGGAAATAAAAAACTCTACTCACAAGTAAGTATTGGCCAGGACTATATAAAACTTGATTTATACGCAAAACACTTAAAATGAAGAATTCAACATTATATTAATGATCAATATTTACTATATCTAATTTACTTTATAATTAAAATGATGGCGGCGGTGCGTTTAACCACAATTCTTTGCCGTCTTAAATTAGATTTTCGTAATAGTGTAATACATAATACTGTTTTAAATTAATAAACATGCCAATATGAACTACCATTCACTACAAATCGAACCACACTATGAACCCAGACACTACAAATTTACAATTGTTGTGTTGTTCCTTTTTTCTATTTTATTTATTGGACGAATTTAATTGACCTATTGAATTTTTCTATTTAAATGGATGTACAGACTAGAATGTATAAACTAGGCCTGTAAATTTGACTTAAAAATAATAGTTTCAGCCATCAAGTGAGGAAATAAAATATTACTTCCATAGGTGTATAAAAAATATATATTTAACAATCAGTCGCCGAAGGCGAGGTGATTACACGCCTATATTCACTGAGCCGAAGGCGAAGTGAATATAGGCTTGTAATCACCGAGCTTGAGGCGACTAATTGTTTTAGTATAAATTTCCAGGTGTTTGTTTACAAACAATAATCCACACAACTTTATAAAAATTCACTTCAAATAAATTTATTTTCGCTATAAATAGTTTGTTTACAAAATTTAAATCTCAGACACGGCTTTGTATCGCGTTGCGACTAAGCCAGTTTTTTTTCCAAATAAAAGCACGTAAAGTTTAATATTTTACCTTGAAATATTTTTAAACCATATTTTATAGCTTGTTTTGGTTTTTTCGGAATGCTATCTTCTTTAATTTTGGCAATTTCCTTCTCTGTTACTACGGCAGAACAAGCAGCCATTTTGAAAAAAAAGCTATAGTCACTGACCAGTGACTATCGCTTCAGAGACAGTGAATCTTGACCAATCAGAATGCAGAAAAATCAATAGTCGCCTGGAAATTTATACTAATGCCTCTTAGAAAGCCCCACATCACTTTTCTAATGGTCCGTCCCTATTTCAATATCAGTGATCTCAATGTTTTTAACATTTTTTTTAACATTTTTAATGTTAAAAACATTGAGTTCACTGATTTTAAATTATGTTTATTTATTGATTTTGATAGTTAGTTTTTTCAATTAGAAGGCTGAACGTGCCTCTAATCTCAATGAAACATGCGAACGGAGTTTTGCTTGCAATGTCGTAATTTACTCGTGGTCTAACATTAACATATCCAACTACACTATCAACCCAGACACTACAAATTTACAATTGTTGTGTTGTTCCTTTTTTCTATTTTATTTATTGGACGAATTTAATTTACTTATTGAATATTTCTATTTAAAAGGATGTATAGTATGTGTAGTATTTATATAGTTTGTGTGTAACAATAATAGGTCAGCTTTAGTCGCCGAATTAATTAACACAATTAATTAATTCACTGCATTGTCTAACTATTCAGATTTTAGGCTTTCTACGCACTATATATACACTTTTTTGTCTTTGGGTGCAGCTCATCTGTTGAAAGAATATGTTTTTATAAGCGTTTTTCGAAGTTATACTAATTGCTCTTTTCCGTATTTACAGATTGAATTTCCATGCAGTACAGTAAAGCACTATCAGCTATTAGAAGAGGAACATAAAGTAGCTAGTACGCAAAGTAAATTAATACTTCAAGTCCTATTCCTGAGGATGTAGTTTTTGTCAAGCAAGAACTATAATTTATAAACTTTAGAGATCGTAATTCTTATTCAAATGGTATACGGTTGAAGATGTATAGAAATGAGTTTCGAAATATCGATTAATATTTTGACCGTTAATTAGAACCAGTGAATCCAAAGGAGAACTGTCAATATAATGACAATATAGATAACCAAAATTATATCCATAACTTACTAAGCTGTTATAAAGCAATAACAATATGTCAATAGTGATGTTTAAATGTGTTTCCCACAATGCTTTTGTCCTCATTCATACGTCTTTGCTTGTATAGCCTTGACATACAATCATATATCCCTGTATGTTTTCCTTTGCGAAAGATAGAAGCACGTACGAAGATCTGTTTTCCACCATTCTCCCCTCTGCTAATTTTTGCGAAGTCCCTTACGTATGTAGTTTAGTAAAGAAGATGCATTACCTTATAGAACGGATATATGTTTTCGATCTTTTCAGGAAATGTTAAATTTAAATGTTTGGGATCCTGCCATTGTCCCTTGGAGAGTTGTTGCTTTATTACAACTACAAGAGCAATATTATACACTTAATGTCTGCACCCTAGGGAAATAGTTAGTTTTGGAAATAGTTAACTATTTCCAAAGGGAAATAGTTAACTGCCACAGATAGCAGCTCCAAAGCCTCTACCACCGGCTAAGGTCATACAGCTTTAAAAGGTGATTTTTAAAAGAAAGATAAAAAAAATATTTTTTTCATAGTTAGGCACTTTAAGTATTATACTTTAATTTAACATAGTTTTTTCCCTGAAAAATGTTTATTTAATGAGTAAAACGCACTATAAGAGACCTCACTTTAAAATTTACTCCTTAGCAACGCCATAGCAACATGTTTTTGTCCCAAATTCGCACGATTATTTTGCTCACAAAGAGTTCATTTTAAATTCACCTTTTGGTGTATGTTTTTTAAAGCAATGTTAGCAAGGTTCTTTATGATTGGTCCATTTTGGGAACCATAGCAACGCGCTGTCTTTCTCAACCTCGAGGTCGACTCACAACAAGATGTGTGAAAATCATCCAAGAAAATCGCTCTATTTTTTACATTTATAAGCCGAAACGTTGCTTTTAAGTGTTGAAATACCTTCTATTTGTTATTCTGTTTGTAATACAGGGTAAATAAATGGGGAATACTAGAAATAGAACGAGAAAAAAGGCGAGGATTCCACCAAATAAGTCTAAGAAAAAAATCCAAGATGGCGGACGAAGTTACAAAGACCCTGGCCCTTCTGCGAAGAAAATTGGCCAAAATACTGCAATGTTTGGTGGTATTTTGCCTAATAAGGATACTATTTTAAAAGAAGGCACAATTTTTATGGACTTATCCCAACTATTTGGAGTATTTAATGACATTTTGAAATGCCCTGAGTGTGGGGGTGATATGAGTTCACACATTGACATGAGGAAAAGAAATGGCTATTCTAATTACATTGTGTTGCAATGTAAAAGTATGGATTGTGAATGGAAATATTGTTTTAACACTTCGAAGAAGCAAGGTCATTCACATGAAGTAAATGTAAGAGCAGTTTTAGCCTTTAGAGAAATTGGTCGAGGACACACTGCCATGACAACATTCAGCAAGGTCATGAATATGCCTGCTCCACCTGCCCGTTCAGCCTTTACCAAAATTTAAAATGAAAAGGTTTTGCCTGCCGTCAAGCAGTTGGCCACTGATAGCATGGTAAACAATGCTTCGAAGGTGAGAGATGAGCATGCCAATGATAATGGAGAATGTGGTATCTCAATAGATGGTACCTGGCAGAAGAGAGGTCATACGTCACACAATGGTGTTGTCACTGTGATTTCGTTGGATTCAAAGAAATGCCTCGATGCTGAAGTTCTGTCCGACCGGTGCCAACAATGTCAAAAGTGGAAACAAAGGATAAATGACCCAAGGTACAACGAATGGAAAGCTTCCCACAACTGCAAGATAAATCACACAGGAAGTGCTAACAGTATGGAAACAGCAGGTGGTGTACGGATTTTTGAACGGTCCTTAGCTACAAGAGGGCTCAAGTATAATGATATGCTGGGGGATGGTGATTCATCAACCTACAACATCATTGTTGAGAACAAACCATATGGCGAGGACTGCATTCCAAATAAATTGGAGTGTATTGGCCATGTCCAAAAGAGAGTTGGTAGTAGACTGCGGAGAATAAAGAGTTCTAACAAAGGATTGAAATTGGCAGATGGAAAAGGTTTGGCTGGTAAAGGTAGACTCACTGACAGCAAAATAGATGTCCTGCAGAATTACTATGGCTTGGCTGTTAGAGAAAACCTGGATGATGTTAATAAAATGGCCAAGGCCATAGAAGCATCACTTCTCCATGTTGCATCAACAGATCAGAATCCGCAGCATCATCTCTGCCCAGATGGAGAGAACAGTTGGTGTGGGTATAAGAGAGACAAAAACCAATATCAGCACAAGAATGGTATTCCCAACTGTATTGTTGATTTTATCAAGCCTATATTTAATGACCTTAGTAAGACTGAATTGTTGAGCAAATGTACGCACGGATTGACACAGAATGTGAATGAGTGTTTGAATGGGCTCATCTGGGACAGATGTCCAAAATCCACTTATGTAGAGCTGGAAACTGTTGCTCTTGCCACATACTTAGCTATCCTGAAATTCAATGATGGGGACATTTCTTTTCTGAAAATATTTAGTGATTTGGATATCACTCCTGGCATCTTCACCAGTAAAGGTGCCGAGGATTGTGACAATGCGCGAATCAAACTGTCTGCCAAAAAAAGCACAGAAAAGGTGAAGAAAAGAAGAAAACACTCAAGCACCTTAGAAAACAATAAATTGACAGTGCTGAAGACAAAGAAGGTGCAACTTATGAAGCAGGTGGCTTCTAACACTTCGTGCAAAAAAACAAAACTTTAAAATAGCATTTTCTCCTTTCGAAGAATTTGCTGTTTTATGTAATCTTTGTGACACCATAGTTTTATAAATATTTGATGTAAAAGGTTGAAACTTGGTATTCCTATGACTAATAACTTTATCTAGTGCCTGGTCCTTTTTAATTGTAATGGGTTTGATTGGCAAGGTATTATTAAGGTTTAATTACCTAATTAGGCATGAAAAAAAATCAATTTTCACCTAATATGCCAATTTTAACCATTTTTTTTTTTAAAAACACTTGAAAGTAAAAATAAAGAGCGCCAGGTGCTAGATTATGTTATAAGCTTTCTAAATATATACCATCTATGTTATTCTGATGATTGGTGTTTGTGTTATCATGTTTCACGTGATGCCATTTTTCGGCTAATTAATTGGCGGCCATATTGGATAATTAGCATAATTAATGTGTTACCAAAAAATTTTTTTTAGATTTTGATTTCGATGACTGTGCTCTTTCAAAAAATGGTCTTGTTAAGTCTGTACCTTGTAAAATGAAAAAAAGTGCCAGAAAGGTGTATGACCACCTTAATTAAGTGTTTTGTTATATAGCGACGAAACAAATATCAACATTGAACAACATTCATACAACAATATTTGTATTTCATGACAAAAACTCTATAGCGTAAACGAGTTTAAAATTTAAAAAACCTACTTAAATGGTTTCAGCAGCATATCCTGTTGCCTGTTATGTATTTTTCTTCTCTTTTACATTCTTTATTTTAACACAAAGCTACGAAAACAACAGGTGGGAAATTTGTCGTCCAAAAAATTGCGGGCAAAAACAAAGCTCATTGCATTTACATTCAAAACAAAGCAGAAAGTTTTTGCTTTTCATTTAACGACAATATAGATAACCAAAATTATATCCATAACTTACTAAGCTGTTATAAAGCAATAACAATATGTCAATATAGATAACCAAAATTGCCAATATAGATAACAATATAGATAACCAAAATTATATCCATAACTTACTAAGCTGTTATAAAGCAATAACAATATGTCAATGATTGTTTTGTAATCGAGTGATTGGAAGAAGTTAATATGGCGAAGTGAACATACCGTAAATACCGTATACGTCGATCTATGGCTTGTTTAAAACGAGTTTAACTATTCTGCGGGCTGCGGGCCGAAACTGCGGACTGCGGGCCAAAAAGTGCGGGCTGCGGGCCAAAAATTGCGGGCTGCGGGCCAAAATTTGCGGGCTGCGGGCCAAAATTTGCGGGCTGCGGGCCGAAAAATGCGGGCTGCGGGCCGAAAATGCGGGCTGCGGGCCGAAAAATGCTAACACGATTGCAAGCCGCGGGTCTAGTTGCGGGCCTGACGAATTTAAAAAAAAAAATTGTTAAAATGTAAAGAAAATAACAATATTATTCAAAATTTTCTGTCTTTGAAGTATATTCTATGTCTAATGTTATTCGTAATCATATGCATGCGAATTTTTCCTTAAATGCATTCTTTTTGTAATATCATGGAATCTCAGTTTATGAGTCGTACCAGACATTAAAACCTGTTTCGACCGGGATAACTGTACACCAATCCTAATAGTAGCCCTATTTTCCATCCATCAAACTGGCCTGACGTAATTTTCGGAAGATAGAAGAGTTGTTAAATGGCTATCACCTAACACGAACCCTACCCCTACTCTAACCCCTAATCCTAACCCTAACCGCAACCCTAACTCTAACCCTAATCGAATTAATAAAAAAATCCAAAACAAAACGACTTTAGAAAGTCAATAGGGCGGTTTGCTGGATGGAAAAAAGTGCTAACCGCCAAAATCATTGGAAAATCATAGGAAAAACCGAGAAATTCAATGGGCTTCGGTATGACCATTCTGTGCCCTGGTTATGATGCGCTACCGCTTATAACTTTTGGTACAACTGGCCTGAAACTTAAAATATTGATTCAATCAGTTTAATATCAATATATTTATTGAAAAATAGATATTATGTCAAAATAAGAAAACTTAAGATTC